GGGATTGGGTGACTCGGGGTGGAGACGCTCGTCCAAGGCGGTCCTGGAGGCGCCTGCACCGCTCTCGGCGGGTGAGGGACTCCGCAGTTCCTAGGGGAGAGCGCGGGGCGGGAGCCAGGCCGGGTGGGGAGACGGGAGCCCCCGAGCGGGGAAGTTGCCGGTCCGAAGAGTTTCCTGTCCCGACGTGTGGGCTCTTTCCCGCTGCCTCGGTTTCCAAAAAGACGCCCAAAAGGAACAGAGTTGGTATTGTCCACGGAGGACAGGATCCCCGCCGTTCCGGGCGGGGGGGAGAGGGTGCTGATCCAGGGGACACCCCAAGATGAGAAACAGGCTCCTAACAAAGATACCCTCCCCCACAAACTGTGCAGGCTTGGCACTGGAGTGAGCGTCTCCCGAGACCCCCCCGAGGCCCGACTCCTCCTCACCCCGGCCCCCTTTGAAACCTTCCTTGGGTCCTGGAGAAGTTGGGGGACGCCGGGCTTTTATTGATGTGTTCTTAAGGTTCGCAGCGGTGCAGCCAATAAAAGGTTTATGACATCTGACCAGCAGTGAAGGTATGCGAGCTCCCAATTGCCCTGTATGCAGGGAGAAGAGCAGTTTCCCCGTTGCTTGGCAACGCCGCTGATTGACACAGGACGCAGCCAATCGCCGCTCCCGCAGGTCCCCTTGAAATGTTTTTGACAAGTACAGTAGATGCTAGTGGAGCGAGCGCGTGCGTGTGCGCGCGTGCGCGTCGGAGAAAGGGGGGGGGGTTGTTTAGCCCCCTCCCAACTCGCTGCCCTGTTAGGCTTGGGGAGGATTTCTCAACTTTTTAAAGTTCACTTCGAACATCTGTTCAGAGCTGGGCCAGTAATGGCTTTGTCAGTTATTTGGAGACATTCTGAGAGCGGGGAAGAAACTAGCTTTCCTGCTACCTTTTCTCCGTTGAAAAGCAAAAAAGATAACGGTCCCAAAGTCATAAAAAGAGAGAGAGAGAGAGAGAGAGAGAGTGTGTGTGTGTGTGTGTGTGTTGTGGGAATGCAACCAATAGCAAACTGAGAAGTTGTAAGGAGGTCACTAGTGAATAACTATTAGAGTATATGATGTAGCAACCTTTTTGGCAGCAGATTCAAAATGTTTGTCTAACTGCAGATTCACATGATCCCAGATTCCCTCCCCCCACCCCCCCCCACCCCCCCCCCCTTTGGGGGGG